TCGTTGGTTGATTGGACTCCCATAAACAGCCGTTTGTGTACAGTCCGTTTGACAACGTCGACCAAGATTGATTCACGAAGTAGAATAAGACGCCGTTTTCTTGCGGTTTCCGCTTACGCTCCTATCGATTGCAGTTCTGATGCTGCCAAGGACACACTTTACCACAAACTGAACACGCTACTAAGCAGTGCTACCAATTCAGATATCATAATACTTGCAGGAGATAGGAATGCACAAGTAGGTTGCCTGGGCTCTTCAGAAGCTCAGCTAGGTGGTATATATGGGCTTAACTCTGACTGTATGGTCAACAGCGAGCGTCCCTTGCAACTATGTGGAGCACCAGCTATTCCTTAGTAGCACTGCTTTCAGACACAGTGGGCGCCGAAGTGCCACTTGGCCAGCGATGGACACAAACAGATCACATTGCCTTAAGTTCAAAGTGGCGTGGTTCCATGCTGGATTACCGCTCATTCTGGAGTGTTTGCGTCGACACTCATCATGTCTTGGTACGCTGTCGTATTTCCCTGAACTTTACCGGGAGGCGCACCAAGCGTCTCCCCCGATTGGCAACTGAGAACTTATCTCAGCTCTCGGTCAGGCAAGCCTACTATGCTGCACTGCGTACCGAACTTTCGCTCCCTTCTTCTAATGACACCAAGCTTCACTGGAATAGGATCTCGGCCGCCATGCACGTCTCAGGAGTATCTGCTTGTGGTACTGTCCGTCGTCACGGCACCAGTAATTTTATATCCGAGAGCTCGGTGAATCTGTTGGAATGCAGAAGAAACCTCTCGGCTCGTTCTGAGCACAATGTAACCAGACGGACTATTAGGCGCGAACTAAAGTAGAGCTTCCATGTTGACAAGGAAGCCTAGTGTACCAGTCGGACTCAAAAAATGGAGGAGGCGGGAGCAGTAGGGAACTGTCGGAAAGTCTTCTAGCTAATCCGCTCAACGAGTCCCAGGAAAGCAGGCGTCAGTGAGACATTCTGAGACAGCGCGGGTACTCTGAGTCACTATAAGGAGCGTTTTGTGGGACGTTGGGCGGAACACTTTTCAGTTAACCTCCTGTTTCCAGCTACGTTCCTACCCAACTGAAACATGAGCCATGGACGGTTAGTTTAAAGCCTCCATCGCGGAAGTCGAGGACCCAAACGTGATCACAGCCCACAATTGTTTTTATGTTGCTGGCACGGATTTCCCTGCATCCGCACTATTCGACTATGAGAGGTGAGGTCCTCTGCAAAGCACTAACCTCACTGTTCGAACATGTATGGAAGTAGCAAACCATCCCGGCTAATTGGAGCGAATCGATTCTAGTGGCCAAATACATGAAGGTCAGTCGCACTGACTGTTTTACCCACAGGAGTACTAGCCTAACGCCAGTTGTGAAAAAGTTACTGGTCTCGATTCTCGTTCGTCGCCTCACTGTGGAACAGGAATCTCGGATTAAGGAAGGTCAGGCCGGTTTCCGCCCAGGACATGGCTATTTAGACCACATATTCACTATGCGACGTGCTAGAGCAGCGCCACGCATACTGCAAGCCGATAACATCTGTGTTCCCCGATTTCAAGAGTGGGTTAAATTCAGTCGATCAATGTATTCTGTTCGAAATACTTGCTCGGAAGGGTGTTCCTATGAAATATGTGAACGTCTTACGTGCTCTGTACTCGAACACTACAGGCCACTTCAGCGTCTACGGTGACCTGTCAGATAGCTTTTCGACCACAACTGACGTACGTCAGGGTTGTCCAATTTCCCCAATTCTGTCCAACTTTGTCGTGGACTGCATCATGGTGGGTTCACTTGCGGAATCTCACGATGCATGCGTTAAAGTTCTGCCCAGTGAAATATTAGTTGATCTTGATTATGCAGAAAAAATCGTCTTGCTCTTTAGCGAGGTTGGGACGGCGTAATCAACCCTGAGTAGCTTGTGTAGAGTGGTTCCATTATTTGGTATGCGCGTCGCACCTTCAAAGTGTAATGTGTTTGTACAGGACCACTAGCCACTCGATGATCCATTGACACTAGATAGTGGGGAACTCAAGGTAGTAGGTCAATTCACTTACCTTTGCGGCTGTATCAGCAACGATAGTTATATACCTACTGAGATCCCTCCACGTATTACGAAAGCCGGAACAGTCTTTTTGGATCTGCGACACCTTTAACGACAGAAAGCAGTTCCCCTCCGTTTGAAAGGCCGTGTATACAAGGTCACAGTGAGGGCCGTCCTGCTCTATGGGAGTGAGACTTTGGCCCTTCCATCTGATGATCTGAGGCGCCTTCGTCTGTGATCATCGCTGTCTGCGGCGCATTGCTGGTGTCGGATGGCACCAGCGTGTTCGCAACGGTGGTGTGCGTAAGAGAGTGCTAGGAAATGATGCTCACTCTGCTTCATTAGAACTCTGGTATCTATGAGTAAGTTGCGTTGCCTTGGCACTTACTATGTGTGCTCGGTCATCACTTACCGAGAAGGGCCTTGTTCAGCCTGGCAGATGTTGGGTAGCGCAAGGCTTGAGGTGGACAAAAGTTGACTTGGCAGCGGGAAATGAAGTCACTGACTACCAAACTTGGTCCTGTCGGTCGGTCTCACCTTCCGAGCTGGAGTCCACGTAACTGGCATTGTGCTTGGCTCGAGACTTTACAAGGCATGGCTCGCAGTCGGCACCATTTTAGTGTCTGCTGCCTGTTTAAAGTGTGTTAGGTGCTGAGTTATTTGCAGAGTAATAGCTGATTATGACGTGGAGCGGTGAAAGCCGCTAGGAACTCTTATCGCCGGTTGCGCCTTATCTTTACACGATAGCCAGCTCTCTGTGATGGCATTTTGTTGTCAAGGTGTAGGCGCCTTGACCCTGAATATTTGTTTAGGGCATTAAGGTTTTCGAGTAAGTCCGCTTTCTCTCCCTCTTATTATTCTCCGTTCCGTAGGTCTTTATGGCTGTATGGCTGCGATGCCTCAGTCCAATTGGCTGATGTACTGCTGTTGATGATGATGAGTGACGTTGTTGTACCTTGGGATACTCAACTAGGACTTTGAGCTTAGTGGCTCTCATGCTTCCGCTGTGATGGACTGTTGAATGTCCGCAATGGCATATTGCTCTGCATCCAGTCTTCTCTGTGTGGGGGACTTGTGAGCGCTCATCGAGAAAAGGATGGCCTATGTGAGCAGCTCTGATGCTTGATTCCTCTCAAACGCGCGGAGAGCTGCTCGCTGCTGCATTTTCCCGCAGTCGCCTGAGCCGTTATTCAAATTGGGTTTCACATCTCCCACGAACCCCATTGATTCGCTCCCATTTTCTATTTATTCTGCTTTAAACTGTCATCGAATATGCTAGCCTGAAGTTGAACTTATCACTGGATATTTTGATGTAGAAGCAAAGTTCGCTGAACTAGTGGTTGGTTTCAATTGGAGCAGCAGCACACATCCTCCAATGGACGCGCATAACACCGCGCTCAACTCCACCGTACTTAGACTTGATGTTAACCAGCTGTGAGTAACATGTGTACGACATGTGTATGCTGGAGCTTATGATAGCAAACGACCACTCATTTCGTATTACAACGTGGAGCTGCCGGTGCAATGATCCCACGCAATACAGCGAGCTTACAGCTAGTGGAAGGCTAATTTCCCCTGCCTGACTTGAGCGGTCATCCAATTGGATTAGTCTCTGCCGCAGTCCGCATATGTTGATGCTTGCTGGTTAGACATAAAGAATGGAGTAAACTCATTGTGTAGCCGGTTTATGCCTCTAAAATATGAGAAAGTCTGACCAGTCAAATCACACTGGTCCCACAAGGAATATAGCAAATTTGCTCGGCGTGGCGCAGACTGTAGGGCAAAGTTATTCTCTGTGACTTGTTTCACGACTACGAGGTATATACTAAGCAGTGAAGCATTTGCGACAATGCAGAAAACGAGCAAGCGTCTGCAGTTCGAAGAGCAGCCCCGAAGACAATTGTTGCGTAGGTAAAGCGACATCTGAAGCCGGTATGTGAGCTACTGATGATAGCGGACAAGTCCATAGCCACCTGCCCGACAGGCTTTCTTCGTCCCGTCTCGTCTTCCAAGCTACGGTGCTGGGGCCTACATTGTTCCTGATTTATACCAACGATCTACCTCCGCTTCTTCGGTCTCCTTGTGCCTTGTTTGCAGACTACCTGAAAAGGTGCAAAGTGATTAGCACATCCGATGACTGCGGCTTACTACAACAAGACCTCAACCACCTTTCCATCTGGTCTGCAGAAGTCTGCCTCTCGGTCAACCCATTCAAATCTGTATTCGATAGCCTAGGGAAGGGTGGTGACGGCCTAACCTACACTGTTGATGGTCAACTGCTACATCCCACATCTTCCGTGATGGACCTGAACGTAATCTTACGTTGTGATGTGAGGTCGGTGTACAACAGGAACAGGCTACACCGAAACGGACTGCGTATGCTCTGGGCTCTCAAACGTAGTTTTTTCATCTGGTCTAAAGTGGTTGCCACTCGTATATTCTCCTCCATATTCAGTCCAAGGCTTGAGTGCGACACGCCTGGGAAGATAGTTTCCCATTCCGTCTGTTTGGAACGCAAGTGGTAAATGTCCGGAACGGTTTACCGAAACATATACTGAAATCGAACGCATTGCGGTAGTTCAAACGATCGTTGAATGTGCATTTCTCAAATGTTAGCTTCCCAGAATAATTACCGGCAGACGTCTCACATTTTTGAGTCCTTATCTATTGAGTTGAACAATTTTTTAACGAAATTGCTTGATAACGTGAAAAGCGATCAGGGTATCGGCACATCATAGATATACTTTGTTTCTCAATAATGATTTTGTTTATATTTCGATGAAATTGTGCAGGTTCAAATTTCTGTTTGCTCCCACAATGCGTTCCACTACGGACTCAGTTTACCCATCACTTGCGATAGGGATTCGCTCTCACGATTTCTCTGTCGCTCTTCATCTCTCCAATGTATAACACCACATCTGCACCATTTTTGTGTTCATTCCAGCCGCTCCATCCAGTTTGGACTCTGCTGTTCGATCGGGTACTTTATCTCCTCCTAAATGCTCACGCGCCCTGTCCACGCTCATCCATGCACGGTATGCAGTGTCGTCTCGGTTTACATACCGCATCGCAATCAAGCGCAGTGATGCTCATCAACGGACGTGCCGCCTTTGTGGACGCGGCCATGAGCTACTTTCAATCGTACCTCTCCCACTGGGTGTCTCGCCAGTGTTTACTACAGTGAGTTTTCTGTCCACCTTTCTTCACCAGGTATCTCAACGTCCGGTTGGCACACCATAGCGTTGAGAGTATCAGCAAGGATCCTGGTACTCCCACGCCTAGATAGTACGTAACCAGTGGCGACGACTCACTCTTCTACTGCTCCTACCACTTTCATGTACTCAGCACTATCCAATCTGATCTGCATAATAACCATCGGCTTGGCGTGGGAAGTTTATTCTATTGGTGATCAACCTTTTATTCTGCGTATCAGTGGAAGACCGACTTTTTTCTGCTTCAGAGTAAGCCGCTTGACCACCTTCTCCCCCCCTTCACTTAAACTGGTGCTTTATAGGACGATGATCATCATGCAGTTCAAGACAAATTTGCACTACTGTATATTCCCCATAGGAACAAACTACCATCGAGCGCTTTTCATCCCATCGCACCTTCCATTCTACTGTCTTTTCAGTAGACCACGTATCAGGTGTCTTACACCGCTATCGTGGTGCCTGGTATAAATAAACGAGCAGATACATACATAAACTTACTCTGCACATTGTGAGACACGCCATTCAAAGCATGATCATCGAATTACGGTCTTGTACAAAACACTAAGCCTAGGGTGATTAGGAAAATGTGCAGAGAACATACCGATTCCTAACATGGACATAGAAAGGAAGGACACCTGGATTAAAATCAAGTGCACGGTCTAGGAATAAAATTACTGGGTACAATCGATATAAAAACTCTAAGGTAGAATTGAGATGACAAGGAACAATGGCCAATGCAGATAAAGGCAAAGAGGGAAAAAAGAGTCAAGGTCAAGTGAAGTGACACGCTCATCCGTGGAACCGTCTCCATATGACCCACATTCATGTAGGTTGGTCCCTCGATGGGCTACACCAGCACCTCCACACCCAATTTGGCCATGTGCCAACGTGGTTTAAAACCAGGCTAGCCGTCGCCGATTTTCCTATTCATTCCGGTTATTTTTTCATAAGTTATCCAGTAAATCCAGTCAGCTTATTCACCGTTCATTATTTTTTTGGTGGGCATGATAAGGAAATTCACCTGATATGGTGGCATGCGCTACACAGTTTGAATTCATCGGGTCAGAGCGCACGGTTGTCTCCCTCGTGCTTAATCTATAGAATTCTTCCGCATCCACTAACAATTGCGGTAGATCGTCGTCTAGTTCTGTGCAGTTTTATGGATTCCGGTTCACAGGTAAGGGGACCGCGCAATTAATAGGGCCGTGCAGCTTAACTGGGACTTCTGTGCTGAAATTGGTTATAGCTGTGCTACCATTTCGCATACATATGACCTGCTGATTTGCATTGGGTTTTGCCTCACTAATCCGAATCGCTTACCCATGTGTCCTCCCGATGCACCTTTTTCCTTAGTGTGTGTCCCTGGGGCGCTTTCACACGTGACCACACATTCATGAGTAGTGGTTTTCGTCTTGATGATTTGTGGGGTGACTCCCTGGTAATCGAGCTTCTCGTCCTGCTCACTTGCCTCTTGGTCCCACTCCTTGTGGTTTTATCACAGTATTGGAGATCACCTCTAGTCCGTGTATAGGCCTCAGTCATGGGTTACGAATTAGATTCTTGTTATTATTATTATTATTATTATTATTATTATTGTTCATTTCGTATCATCTTTGAGCGACAAGGGAGGTAGGATCTAAACCAAGTGAGCATTCGGTCCCCTGCACCGTCGGTCTGAAGTTTGACCAGAAGATGGCTATGAGGTTCACCATCGAAGGCCTTGTATATGCCGCGAATAAACGCGATGGTGTGTATTAATAAGCTGCCTACTCGCCCTAATGAAATCTATGGTCATTATTGAGCATTACACCTCCCCCTGATTATCATCAGTTCAGGCATTTAAACATTTCGTTTCGATCCTGGAACCTGGTGCGGTGTGTGGAAATTTTTTGTAGCTCGCTTTGCGAATTATCTATCCGGGGAGCGTATCGCAATCGAATAGGATATGGAGCGGCTGTTATTTGCTGCAACTGTGCAATATAATTCAACTCACGTGCCCCCCATTCATTTTCGACGGAACAACACGCATTTCAATCCACTTACTCTATGATTTTGGATTTTCGGCATCCACAAACTTTCACGATGTTGCCCCGAATCAGCTGACGATGTCATCGATGTCACTGGATACTGATTGATCTTTGAATTGCCTGAGACATCAATTACGGTGAATTGTTAACTCAACAAGAAAGTCACAAACATACTGTACGAACAGCCGTTAGAGCGTAGATTGCGTATGTTTCCGTTTCCCCTCACTTCCATATTTCTCCTTGCCAACATCTTCTGGTTGGTTGGCAGCATCCCGTTTCGGATTTGCCTGTCACTGTGGCCAGCCACAGGTCGCCTGCGCCTACAGAGGGACCATGGATGGCTTGCGCTGCACCACCCACAGCTCCATCCACACACACCATATCCAGTGTAAACCCGAAGGAATAAGACCGAGAGGCATGTGTATGGGAGCCACGTTTCATCAACGGAGCCGGCCCACCCTCCTTCACAGGCAAACACAAGCACGCTGTATTTGGGAATCAAGCGCACACAAGGCGGTGGCTGGACCGTAGTCCGCTCCACACTGAGTGCATGGAACCACTCTTCGAGCCTAGCACGGCCACAAGGACCGTGCACCCCGTCCCCTCCAGCAACGACCAACTGTTTCCTGGAGCCAGTATGGACGAGGTAGTGGGTAATAGACAGGTAGGCACCTTGTCAACATGCACACCAATCGCAGCCACACCTGGGATGTCAAACAACAGCGAATCATTCAAAATGCCGATATCGAATAAAGTAAACGCCTATGGCGACATAAATACTCGATAAATGAGCACATGGAAGAAATTGGTTAAATGTGAATACGCGATAAGTTCAAAATGTCCGAAAGTTATTTTTAAAAATATCACGCAATAAAATTACGCAATTTTACCACAGTTTGCGTGAGCGACGTGTGCAAGTAAGGAGAAGATTATCAAGTAGGCAGAAGAAAAATAAAATAAAATGTAATCAATTTTATCCACATTAAAAGACTTAGTTTATGTGTAAGTTGGTTTAGCCCAACTGGTACATCCATAACAATGGTATGTCTGCTGAGAAGGTACCCATTCGCATTCAAAATGCCTATTTCTACGTGGTTTGCTTTGAAACTGATTTTGAAAAAATCTGCTAGCTTATCCTGAGCCAGGGTCGTTCTCATCAACCAAATGTTAAATCACATGGTTACTTGGTAGACGATTACGCGCCACCTCTGTAATGCGACCGGCACACAGGTTGGATTGACACGCGGTAGATTACAGTCATAAGTTTACAACTTCTTTCGGTTTACCATAGCCCAGTTCGTCTTCCATTCTATCTTCTTGCTTTTGTGCAACTCGGATACGCATTTTAAACCGCAACTTATACGCCGCGATCTAGCTTCTATCCAAATTTTCACTTCACAGTCTTGGTCAGTTGATGTCTTGGACACTCCCAACGCCAGACTCTGATGAAAGTGACGTTCCACTGGATGGGCACTCGATGTGCAATGAACTTCGACCGGCAGGTAAGGTACTTCCTATCCGCTGCGCTACATTTCACCTCGTTCGCTTTTTTCAACGGACCCTAGATTTTCCCGTCTCATCCGTGGGAAATATCTGGTGAACCTGCACGAATTATCGAGCACGTCTTAATCCCAAACCTTGCGTGACACGCCTACTCCGTCGTGACCAATATAATCAGAAACTCTATGCGCTCCATCGATCTCTCAAATCGATCCGTATATGCTCATCACCTGTTTTGTCAAGGTATCTAACTTAGCTAGAACCGGTTTGTATTTCTTTTTCACACGTATTTTGTCACGTAAATACGAGGACTTTGTGTAGTGTGGTTTGTGACCTGACGAAAATGCATGATAAAAACGGAGCAAGTTCGTTTACGGAAAATTCTTCCGTAGATATTCTCCGATAAAGTATAGAACATGATTCGCTGTTTGCGATATGAAAAATTTTCTCGGCACTCGTGTGGAAAACTGTGCGTTGCTAATTCCACTCTAGATATCATCTTAGTATGCGTGACCAGGATGAATAATATTAGAAATTCTATTTCCTCTTGCAAGCCTGCATCTGATTCGACTCTTTATCTGTCGAGTTGATTGTCGCCCACTGCGTTGGTTGTAACTCCGTGTCAAACTGACTTGCAAGGGATTGAGCCTTTTCGCTTCGATTTATCTGACCGCGGGGAGAGTCATTTATTATTCCCCACCCCGATGGACAATGCGTGAAGATGGTCACAAACCTGGCATTAAAATTAATTACACGATACACTATTGACAACGCAACACGTGGCCGTTTCTTCTAACTGGATGCTTATTCGACGGAATGTTGAGCTGTGATTCCCCCACACACAGAAGAGTAGGTTTCTCGTGTGTGGACTAAACTACGCGATGGGTAGCAATAACAATTTTCTGCTTTCGTATTCTGATTTTGCAACACTTTCCGCTGATGGCTATCGTAGAGTACTGCTAAATCGTCCGGCTTGTACTTTCGGAATTGTCATCCATCCTCTTGAACTTCGCAGTTAATGAGATTATGCAAACGGCATTCGCTGGACACGACCTACAAGGTGCGGAGCTACTTCCTGGTGAACGACTTCTTGGCTTGGAGTATGCGGACAACATTGTCCTCATATGTAACAGCTCCCAAACGTGCCAGACTGCACTGAACTGACTAGCATTGGCTGTCAATCGTTTTGGGCTATGCTTTGCTCCATAGAAATGCAGGTTCTGCAGAATTGGCAGAGACCCACCCTTGTGCTAACGCTTTGTAGTGATCAGCTATTAGTCGTTCTGGTATTCAATTACCTGGGCAACTACATTAGCCCCCGTGGCATCGAAGATGAGGTTACGAATCGTATAGCAAAAGCTCGAGATGCTTTTGTCAATCTCCACCACCTGTGGCACAGCCGCTACATGACTCTCTCCCTGAAGAGCGGAGTTTATAATGCAGTCATCCGTTCAACCCTATTATACGGTTGTGAAACCTGGCTTATCAGGTCGACACATAAAGGGGCTCGTCACATTCGATCATCGCTTCCTTCTCAGCTTAGCTGATGTCTGGTGGGAACACCGCGCGAGTAATGTGCGTGTTCGGCATCGCGTATTTGGTGCAGGAAGAGCGAGTGAACTGCTCAGCACCATTATATCACGCAACAGGCTCCGATGGTTGGGCCACTTGTTGCGCATGCCAGCACACCGACTCCCACAACGTGCATTGTTTGCGCGTTGTGGGTGCGGTTGGAAGAGGAGGAGGGGAGACCAAGCGATGACTTGCTCGAGAAGGATGAAAACCCTCACCTCGAGGATGGCGTCGGTTGGTGCATCCCGACTGCCTGGCTGGGGTCCTAAAGACAATGAACACGTTTGGTTGAACACACACAATGGTGTTGGTGTTGTGCGTTCCTTTGTCCATCCTCCTCCTGCTTAGCCTTCCCTCCAATCACCATCTCATTTGTTAAGCATAATACAACTCTCTTTTTGCGGCACGACAGCCGGCTGTTAGCTCCTCGAAACGATGTCCATCCGTTACTGGAGACTCGGTCGGAGTGCCTCTCTTGTTATTTTTTCTTGTCTTTTGTATTGCGGCACACTAACTGAGGTGTTTTCCACCTGCAGCTAACGTGTATAATGATGATGATGATGCTTTTTAATTGTGACTTTTAAAACTCTTGCTGGTGAGATCTCGCGCGCACCATGCTCTTAAACTTATAGTGGAACGTTAAAGGTGTTAAAAACACCGGAGAATTTTTTGATCCCAGAGATGGAAATTGCTTAAAAATGCGTTAGTGGCACTAATATTTTGTGATTCTTTCTTATCTTCTGAGTACACATCTCAGAGTAGTCCTTAAGTCCTTGAAACATCTGGCTTTGTGTAGTGGCTTCCAAGGGGCTAATATAGACATAATAGTATCCAACCGTTTTTTAGTTCCTGTGAGCAACTCGTATTCAAAATCAGCACTCGTTTCAGTTTCTCCTGCATAGAGCTTTGCCTAAAGGTCCACAAACATTGACTGATCAATTTTATAAAACCACGGTCACATCAGTCATCACTTGTTTGCCACATTTTTTGCCCTATCAAAATTTCCTCAATCAAAACTGTTCAGTGAATTACTTCGGCGATATCAGCTTTATCAGCGTTTTGTTATAACTATTTAATAAAACCCTTTAATGCTTATCCCTACCAGTGATGTGTGTTTGGCGGCCAAAGCTGCATCCTTCCTAGGGAACATGGAACACATTCTTAACCTGGTTACCTCACTCTTCGAATTCACCTTGACTCCATGGTCTGTTCGATACACACGTTACTGGATTGAGACTATTCCCACCATCTAAATTCATGCGTCTCATACTTGAGCCCGTTGTGGCTTGCTGAAGTAAATTCTTGCTTTGTGCTCAAACCCAGTAGTCCGTTAGGCATTGGACGTTGGGGAACATCTTCCATCATCACTCTGTTTTCGGTTGGGATCCTTACTATTGATCTATGTTTGGCGATACTCGTTTCCGCGTTTGACTATCACTATGACTACCTACTACCACGAGAGGCCTGTGCCTACAAAGGGACCATGGGTAGCTTGCGCTGCACCACCCACAGCTCCAACCATACACCCCATATCCAGTGTAAACCCGAAGAAATAAGACCGGGAGGTATGTGTATAGAAGCCACATTTCATCAACGGAGCTGGCCCACACTCCTTCACAGGCAAATACAAGCACGCTGTATTTGGGCATAAAGCGCACACAATGCGGTGGCTGGACCGTAGTCCCCTCCACATTGAGTGCATGAAACCACTCTTCAAGCCTAGCATGACCACAAGGACCGTGCACACCGTCCCCTCCAGCGAAGACCAACTGTTTCCAGGAGCCCGTGTGGACGATGTCGTAGGTACTATACAGGTAGGCACCTTGTTAACATGCACATCAAGCGCAGCCACACTGGAGATATCAAGGAACAGCACATCACTTGAAATGACATGATCAAATAAAGCATATGTCGACAAAACTCTTCGCTAAATTAGCATATGAAGCAAGTTGGTTAGCAATGAATCCGTGATAAGTACGAAACGTCCACAAGTTACTTAAAAATGCTACGAACACAATAAAGTTAACGAAGACTACCACAAGTGGTGTCAGCAAGGTGGCCAATTAATAGATTATTCATGTAGGCAGAACAAACCAAATAAAGTGGAATGAAATTTATCCAGCATAAAAAGTCCTAGTTTAAGTGTAAGTTGCTGTTGGAGGTGAAAGTAAAATACAGGTATGCATCTGTAGCCGTTCATGACTGCAGACTTTCGTTCTACCGTGGAGGTTCACCGATGTTTGTTTTAACGCATCATTTCTTCATCCCTATTGGCTATTTGTAGTCGTTGTTTTTGCCTTCAGATCGCAGGCATACTTTGACGCTATCACTCTCACCTTACGTCCTTTGTGTGCACTTGATTGGTTCCCCATTTGTTCCGCTTGTTGGCTTTAATTGTCCGCTTGCTTTCCGCACCCTGGTTGGCTTTCGTGTTTGTGCGTTATGCTATATAAGTAACTGGTTTCCCTATATAAAGGACCCTTGAATCTCTGCCCCTGCTCGTTCGTGTTCTCACTAACGTTAGTGGGTGGAAGCAGTCGCGGGGCTCCGACACAACAGTTGCTTTAGCCCAACTGCGATGAAGAAGCATCATGAAAGTAGCATTAACCTCAGCATGAGGCAAACGTACATGGTTGGCGGCATCCGGTTTCGGATTTGTCTGTCACTGTAGCCAACCACAGGACACCTGCGCTTACAAAGGAATCATGGTTAGCTTGCTCTGCACCACCCACAGCTCCATCCACACACCCCATATCCAGTGTGGGCCCGATGGAATAAGACCGGGAGGCATGTGTGTGCTAAGCACGATTGATTCAGAACCGGTCCACACTCCTTCCACATGTATTGCAGCAGTATTCTTGCCTATTTACTTGGGAATTATGCGTATCAGACTCACACTAGGCGATGGATGGGCCGTAACCCGTTCCACACTGGCTGCATGGAGCCACTCTTTGAGCCTAACACCGTCCCCCTCCGGTAAGGATTCACATTCACCTGGCACCAGTAATCGAGGTGGAGAATGCTAGACAGGTAGGCATCTTGTCAGTATTCACATCAAGGACTGTCACACCGGGGATATCAATCAATACCGAACATCTGTAATACACGGAACTCAACACGGAGGTACACGTACAGACCAGTTGCAACGATGATGTAGCCCACGTACCACAGCAGCCGTCTTATTTAGCCTGGGTTAGTAGATTGAACCGGGAGCAGCGTTCTTGCCAAGCGCTACGCTGATGATGATTGCATATTTGGCTCACTGGTCTTCTCTTCTATGTTAGCCCAGCGTGTCGACGCTGGTGGCTTACTAAGCTCTGTTGGCTCAGGCACTCACAGCCGCGTGTGCTACAACACAGTACCCTCGACGTCAATGGGCTACACAGCATTGGCGCCTATCGCTTCCACAACCGACGTTTCTTTCTTGCACCTGAGCACCCGACCTCTTGGTCAGCTCACGCCATTCGCCCTGATCAACTGTCTTTGATTCCCAATACCTGAAATCAACGTTAATTCGTGATAGACTCACGTTGACCCTGTTCTGCTAACGTAACTTCGGTTTTCACACCTGCGGCTTCCCTGCAAGGCATTGATAAGCCAATACGAAAGGTATGCACCCAACTAGCTCTAGCTTCTCTCGAGACTTCTCAATTTAGGCCATGGTATATTATGTTAATTTTTTTAATCCCGTACTATGGGTTCTCGTCTTTCCTATCGTTCGCTTTTTCACAATGACGATGTTCTTGATTCAAACTGGGTCCGCTGCACTTTACACTAGACCAGTGTAGTCTTCCTGCAGCAGACTGGCCCCAGTTTTTGCCTCGCGGTCCATACAACCTTTATTTTTTTTTAATTTCGTTTTTCATCGAATCATCTAGGCAGATATTCCTCTATATCACTACATCTGCGCCTTACCTTCCTTTATCTCACTTCAGACTCGACCGACTGGAGGCAACACCCAATCGAATTACGTAATTGCTGTTTTGAACTGCTTATTCGGCTCATATTGGACTCACCGGCGGTGGGCAGAGAGTGAGTTTCTTCCCAATTCCCACATAAACATGTCCCTCACGCTTTCGCAGCCGTACCACAATGCTCAATTTCACCGTTCCTCTTCTTTAGCCTATGCAACGAACTGGTCACTGCGTTGGGGTTCGATTGGTTCTACTTGTTTTTCCGGTCTCACGTCCATCCCTCCACCGTGGTGCTTGCACTTCACCTCCTCCTATTGGTCCTATTGAATCCCGCCTTTTCTGTGTTCACATGGCCACCTGTTACCGATTGGTCAGTCGGGCTGAACCACACAAGCGCTGGCAAATCGCAGGCCCCCTCCAAGCCTAACCAAGACAGTCATCTTGGATCCGCTGACTCGGCCAGCCGATGCACCCCGGAGACTGACGGGATGGCAGCTTTTCGTCTGGGTTGCCCAGCTGGCCGGTGGTTGCGGGGCTGTGAGCTCCTGTTACGACGACGACATGGTTTGTTATTAGGTCAGTTGTGCAACTCCTTTGCTGAGGCTGATGTTACATTCATGATGCTGCTTCACCGCAGTTGGGCTAAACCAACTTACACTTAAACTAGGTCTTTTTAGTGTGGATAAAATTCATTACATGTTATTTGGTTTGTTCTACGTACTTGATAGTCTTCCCCTTACTTGCACACGTCGCTCACGCAAATTGTGGTAAACTTGCGTAATTTTATCGCGTGGTATTTTTTTAACTAACTTTCGGACATTTTGTACTTATCACGGATTCACTTATAACCAATTTCTTCTATATGTTCATTTAGCGAGTATTTATGTCGTCATATTCGTTTATTTTATTCGATCTCGGCATTTTGAATGATTCGCTGTTGTTTGACATCCCAAGTGTGGCTGCGCTTGATGTGCATGTTGACAAGGGGCCTATCTCTCCATTACCCACTACCTCGTCCATCTGGCTCCAGGAGACAGTTGGTCGTTGCTGGAGGGGATGGGATGCACGGTTCTTATTGTCGTGCTGGGCTCGAAGAGCGGTTCCATGTACTCAGTGTGGAGTGGACTACGGTCCAGCTACGGCCTTGTGTGCACTTGATTCCCCAAATACTGCGTGCTTGTGTTTGTCTGTGAAGGAGTATGGGCTGGCTCCGTTGATGAAACGTGGCTCCCATCCGCATGCCTCCCGGTGTTATTCCTTCGTGTTTACACTGGATATGGGGTGTGTGAATGGAGCTGTGGGTGGTGCAGCGCAAGCCATCCATGGTCCCTCTGTAGGCACAGGCGTCCTGTGGCTGGCCACAGTGACAGGCAAATCCGAAACGGGATGCCGCCAACCATGTACAACTCCGTTGCGTCGTGCTGAGGTTGCGGTTGCATTCATGATGCATGTTCACCGCAATTTGGCTAAATCAACTTACAAATAAAGTAGGTATTTGTAATCCGGATAAATGTCAGTCCACTTTATTTGGTTACTTCAAATCTGTTATTTTGCTGCAAATTCTTTGCCAAATTTCCGCGTTTGCTTTCTCTAAAATTCTATATTCGTTATATGATGATAACCCCGTGTGGCTGCGATTGATGTGAATGTCGACAAGATGCCTACCTGCCTAACACCCTCCACCTCGGCTGCTGGCTCCAGCAGACTGTAAATCGTTGTTGCGGAGCGGGATGCGCGGTCCTCGTGGCCGTGCTAGGCTCAAAGGGTGGTTCCATGCATCTGACTCTGAACGGGCTACGGTCCAGCTACCGCCTTGTGTACCTCTGCTACGTGTGATCCCGCAATTTCCCTGACTAGTGTGTTGTTGTTGCGCACGTTGAAGGAGTGTGGTGGGCTTTGTTGATGAGATGTAGCTCCCATCCACATGCATCCTGGTCTTATTCTTTCGGCTTTGCACCGGATTGGTGGTGTGTGCTTGGAGCTACGTGTGTGGTGCAGCACAAGCCACCCATGATCCCTCTGGAGGCGCAGGGGGCCTGTGGCTGTCCTATGGAGGCCGCCGTGACAGGCAAATCCGGATGCTGCCAACCATGTGCAACTTCAAACTCATCTCCATGTGTCTTTGTGATGTTGTTTTGCTTAGCTAATTTCTCTTCCATCATCCTTCGTGGACTCACGTGCATTTTGCATGTCGACCTTCTTTGGTCACCTGTCCTCACCGGCTGAGCGAACCAGAAAATAAGTGAATATTCGGTCATTTGTATAGTTGTTCATTTATTTATTTGTGGATGTATTTCTTGTTTTTTCCATCTATAAGTGACGTTATGGGGGTTCACTTCAGATTCGTGACTATCGCCTTAGTTTTTGTAGATCTGTGTACTACGTCATGGTGCGACTCAATATTAGTCACTACTTATCACATTTATTCGCCGTATTCCATACGTGGTTCTTCTGAATTGTGCTGGGCACCTACCGGATGGTGTAACCAAATCCCTCCGCGAGCATTCATTTCCAAATTCAATGGATGCTATCCGTATGGATTTATTCCCTCTTACCATTGTATCGTATTAGCGGAAGAATATAGTCGACTTTGTTGTAGGGGTCCCGGATCTGACCAGCGACATATATTCCAGGTGGTTGTTGTGTCGCGTGCGACCGCAAAACAAATACTATGACGAGCCGAAACAGAATTGTATACACGAGAAATCTGTTCCACTTAAATAGGTTACCGTGGTAGTTGAAACAAGCTACGGAAACACGTTTTAGCCAATCATCAGCATAAGAGACACTGAATAACACAGACGAATGGGTAGGAGTAGAAGTAAGAACCAATCACGAGTGTGCGGGCAATCGGTGTTGGTGGAACTGGGACCCTGAATTGACATCCACTACGAACGACGTGTGCCAGCCAATCAAATTGACGAAATGCTTCGTTTAAGCCGATGTAACTAAACGAACGATAGCGACAGGAACAACTAGTGACTGCGATTTAACAAGATGTATATGTCCAATGAGCATCCCCCACTAATATCCATTATCGTCCTCATCATCATCGCAGAACTCTACTTAACTGGATTCCGCTTAGTACATATTCGCCTCCCTTTCGTGTCTCTGTTCGGTTATCCTGCACACAGACAGCCTGGTTCGTCATCCAAGACGTATTTCGGCACGTCATGTTCTGGCGCTTCACGAGTTCCAACTGACGGAGTGTCAGCAACCTGGCTTCGCTGTCCTCAAAGTGCTTTTACCCCTTCATTCCAATACACCAGAATTGTTTTACCTACTCACAGCGATGCTACTGCGTGTTCCGGTACAGCGAATCCCCTCAAACTTTCAGGTGAGCTTTTCTGCGATTTTATGCCCTCGATCTTTCCCCAGTCCCTCACGCACATCTAACATGCCTTCCTGTTATCCACGCTGGCCCCCTCCACTTACACTATTTATCGTATTTCTCCTCTCCGTCTATGGTTCCCCACTTTCTTCTAGATCCTTAGCGGTCAGCAGTGGTTGGACTATCTCAAGGTACTACAGTCTGCCATGGGTTTGTATTTCTTATTGTTACTGTACACGCCGCAATTTCCCCTGTTTGTTGTCCTCCTTCATACGGTCGCCCATTGCGTGCCTGTACCCGGCATGCCTTGTCTAGTGTGTATGTGTCTGTATGTTCAGTGCTCGTGGTTCGTGTTATTCGTGCGCATTCGTAACCCCTTCCCCACCTCAGTACGCGATCCTCATATCCCAACGTTCTATCTTCGTTTCGTCTAAATATCCTGGTGGAATTTGGGCTTCTCGACATTTTTTCAGTCTGCATAGTATCTCATCCCGTCTGTGGCCACGATTCGCATCATCGTATCTGCGTAGCAACATCAGCTCTCAATTCCGCATCTATGTCGCATACCTTGATCATCTAGTCTGTTGTAATTTGATCCCACCCAATTGTTCTGACACTTAAATCCCTTGGTGCACTTGATAAACACAAAGCTTGTATTGATGTCGATATTCCAAGGAATTCTCTTCAATGTTATCCGGTGTAGTTGCAACAACCATTTCATCACACTGTTTCAGTTCTCCATAAACAATTCACGTGATCGAACACGGTGACCGCATCCTTCTCTATCCACTTTATTTTAATTTGACCCCCCCCCCCCAAACTCCTGCTCTCCATGTCACTACTCTTTCCCTTTGGTTAAATCCGATTCCTGCTGATTTGGAACTGAGAACTAAAGGAGAAGATCGGGGGATGGGTTCTGGGTAGTGGCATGTTTCCGCATTGCGTCGAGTCTCCCTCCTAACTTCTGTGTTTCACCAATCGCTCATTATGCTAACCGTCAAATCGCTATCCTGTGATTTGTGGAATTTTTTTTACAGATGTTTAGTAGTGGAGTTGAATGGCAGTGCTAGAAACTCATCACATCATTTAGTCAGACAGCCATCATATGCGTACAGAGCACTTTACATTTATTCCTTCCGGAAATCGTCGGCAGTGCACATTCCATCTGACCCTTGTGGGGCTTGGACCCGCAACTCGACTGTTAGCAGTCTGTGGTTGAGATCACTGAGCCACGGCAGACGGTAACGACCGTCGTGACTAAGTTGGCAGACTTGACATAGCGACACTCATTAGCCACACTGTTGTATGCCACTACCGTGCGGAGGATAGGGTAGCACCCTCACCGATCGACCAACTTACCAAACGTAAGCCGCCATTTAATTTATGGCATTGTAAGCAGTTCAGACTGCGTATTGCTCATAAGGTATGGGCGGACATTCTTCACCTCTAGACTTTATTGCAGCTCTTTGGGCGGGTAGAGTCGAACACATTTCCTTAGACTCATGCATTAAGGACATGAGATAAACGGACAAACACATTCAGCTTACGGGTGGCTTGTTTTCATAGACGGTTTGTCTGATGCTTACTCGATGACCTCCTCCTGTGTACCACATACTTTGAGTCGTCCATCTAACCTGAGGAGACAGAGTACAGCTATACCCATGAAATGGCATGCTGCCATTCTCTGGCATACAACAAAGTGTCATACTTGAATGGTCCGCATCTCGGAACGGGCCGAGGCTTCATCGCCCATAATACGTGCATAAAACTGCCCTTATAAAAAGTGTTGTGTCGCCGCTGATGCCTTCACCCCACGACCGCAAGAAGAAGTTCAAGACGAGCCAGAAGGAGACTTGTATACATGAAATCACAGTTGCTTATATAGTTTGAAGGCAAAATGAAGGGAAGCTACTAAAGTACACTTGAGCCAACCAACTGAAGGAAATACGTCAAATGCAACGGCGAATAAGCAACCCTGTACGTAAGAGCGAATCGCGTAGGTCCTTAAAAATAGCATCATTGGACTCCAAGCGTAAAGCGAACGACCATTTACAGTGACGGGCACTGGCCAATCAGCATGACGAAATGAAACGTTTAAACAAAAGTCACGAAACAAACGCGAATAAGGAATGCAGACCCAAAAGTTGAAAACTAGTACAATAATTGTGTGACACTAAATATTCCTTTAACATAACCAAGTAGAACAGTGATGAGAAGAAAAAAACCAATAGAATATGTTCTTGCAAACAGCGTTGCTGAGAAGGGCATGACGATGAGCGTTCATTAACAATGACGCGGGTGTACCAATCGGGCGAACCCAGTAGAGCGTTTAAACAACAGTCAAGAAATAGAAAATAGGAAGAGTAAAGAATAGCTATCAAGCTCGGTCACAATAAATGAATGTCTGATAGCTGTTCTCCTAATAAAAAGATATTTGTCTTGACTTACACGCTACTTTGCCTCACCAGCACACATCCAGTCGGACCATGGTAGTGCTGGTGAAACCCATAGAGGGAATACCTCGCATGGAGGCAGCTCCTATGGGGACGTTTCCATGGATGACCGTATTAATTTAGTTGAACTTTTGGTTAAATCTGCCACTTCTTGTTCCCATTTTCCTAATCGCTCTGATACCTTCTACTACGCCAGGCGATCCGGTGCCTTAAAGGTACTATGTCGTCCCACATCCCTGACCGTGAACTT